GTTCTTTGATTTCATAGTTTCCAATCTTTTTTCAATTCAGTGGCTAACTCAGTGTCTTCAAAATAATCTATAATAATCCTCTCAACTACTTTTTCTAAATTTTCTTTACCTTCCCATTTATAGTCATGCATAAGGCTATGTTGAAAACAAACATTCATAAATTGATTTCTTAATGGTTGCTAATCAATTTTCTTAGATCTTGCTCAATATTCTTGCTACAATGAGGAAATCTATTCCTCATTTCTATCAATATTTGGTGAATTATTTCAGTTGCTTCTTGCTTAAATTCTGCTTCCTCTTGCTCACTTACCTCTGTATTTTTATAATCATTGAGTTCTTTGTCTTTATCAACTAATTTCTTTTCTAAATCAGCAATGTGATTTGATAGTTCTTTGTTCTTTTCTTGATTTCTGTTAAAATATTTGTCATGACTTTCTTTTTATTACCTTTTTTTTATTTATTTTTTAATATACTTATGAGGGTACATTAAGTATATAAATTATTTTAGTACTTTTTTACTTTAAAAGTGGAAAAAGCTAAACTTATTAAACTTAATGACAGTAAAGGACAAATTAACAGGTATGTTAAAGTAATAAAGGTGACTTTATTCTAAATATTTTTGTTGCCAGTATAGAATGGTCTTGGGCAAGTAATATCTTTAAACTCATCCCTTACAAATGGATGAATATTGTTATAAAGGTGTTCTTGCCTTTTGTAGTCTAAAAGAGGTAATGTAAGACTAAAATGGATAAAGATTTAATTCCTTCAGAAACAGTTGCTTTTCTAACTTCCAATAGTTTTAGAAAGAGAATATAACAGAGAAACTTTTTTTTTCATTAATATTAATATTAGTGTTAGCATTAAAAATTACTTTTTATTTTTTTATAATTATTCAATTCATTGTATAATTTAGCAATATGATAAATATTGAAACAGTAACATATGATATTTTTTTAATTGACATAATGATATGCTCAGAAGTTCCTCAACTAAAATTTATTATAACTATTGAGGTTTTAGAGTTTTTCTTTTTTTGTTGTGGTTTTTTTGTGATGATTTTGGTAGTTTTGATGATTCTAGGATATTAAATGTCCATTCAATAGTTTAATTTGGTGGTTTTGATGGTTCGGAATCTAGTATGCCATCAATAAATCTACTACTCCTGTCTACCAGGATCTTATATATTGCTTAGTTCATCTGGAAAATATAAAAAAATTTTACACATGTCAATTGTAAGTTTAATAATAAAAAAGTGTAAAACTTACGTTGGCACTGTAAGATTTACATAATATTACATCAGCATCATAAGATTTATGCAAGTTTACGCTAAATTAATTTCCTGATGTTATTAAATTGATATAGCTTAATATAACTTATAACTAAATTAATAATAAATACTTACTCGAAATTTTAATAAGATTCGAGTAGTCTTTCCCATTGCATCAAAATCCATAAAATTTGTTGGTAGAATGTCAATTGTAAGTTTAATAATAAAAAAGTGTAAAACTTACGTTGGCACTGTAAGATTTACATAATATTACATCAGCATCATAAGATTTATGCAAGTTTACGCTAAATTAATTTCCTGATGTTATTAAATTGATATAGCTTAATATAACTTATAACTAAATTAATAATAAATACTTACTCGAAATTTTAATAAGATTCGAGTAGTCTTTCCCATTGCATCAAAATCCATAAAATTTGTTGGTAGATCAAATACAGAGATTTTTTGAAAAATATAGAGTTCAGGCCCAGGTAATGATAAACTATATATTTTAACTTTTAATCCTGGATGCACACATATAAATTATCAATTAGTTACAATTTTATTACATTGAGAAAAAGATTAGATAGATTATTATTGATTTTACCAGATTTTATTAAACCAAAAACTTTAAATTCTTTAAATTTATTCATGAATCTTGGCTGCTTCTCAATTTCCAATTTCTTATATATAAGATTAATCATGTATTGAAGTTCTCCACACAATTTGACAGTATCTGACTTTTCTTTTCTGATATCTTCTATAGGTTGTTTTTTTCCATTTTCAGTGATTACAAGTTCCAAATCTCTTTTATACAGAATTATTGTATCAGGAATTAATGCTTTTTAACATTGTCATCTAATGTTTTTAAAAAGTTCCTGTGAATTTTATTAGCCTTTAGTTCCCTGAAAACAAAAAACAAACCACTTGATTAGTGTTTAGCTTTGTACAGAAATATTGATAATTATTTAAAATGTCATAACATACTTAGATGTTTTTATATTATATTTTCCATAGAATAGATTAAACATCATTGGAAGAAAAATTAAACCAGTTTTAAATGACTCTGAGTGATCCTTTTCCCAAAATGTTGAGCTTGCTTTAAAAAACCTTAACCTAAAAAAAAAAAATATACAAACATATAAATTGATGTCTTACAAAATAACAGATAAAATAAACATACATATTTTCAATTTTTTTTTGTACAAAAGTCATCATAATAGAATCAATATCATCTAATGATTGGTAGTTTTTGGCACTTAGCTCACTTATAATTTCAAATCCATGATCCACGTTATTTATCTTGGAAAGTTTATTAATATGAGATAAAATATTTTCATTGATTTGGTTATTTTTAATTAAGTTTTCCAAGATTAATTGAAATTTGCTTTTTATCTCTAAATAAGGATTTTCAAGAAATAATTTATCTTCCAAATTTAGAACTGCCATTTTCACCACATCTCTAGATTGTTTAAAGAAAAAATTAGCTTTATCTTTATTATAATATCAAATAGATGAAACTTGCCTTTCTTTAGAATCATTAAAAATATTTAACATAAGATCTTGAATACTTTTGCCACTTGTCAATCACTCCATAACATTCTTTAAATATAGATATTAATATAGTTTAATTCAAATTCAAATTCAAATAATTTTAATATACTTACTGATCCAAAAAGAGGAATTATCTTGGGTGCAACATTGTTTTCCTATTTAAAAAGGCATTATTATATTATAAGTCCAATTAAAAATAAAAACATAATCTTGAACAGCAGTATTATCATTCAAAATATAATCTAATTATTTCTTGATCAATATTTTTATACAATGAGGATTCACTAAAAAGCAAATAAATTTTTAATTTTAATCTATGCACAATATTATTTTATATATATCTAGAGTAATGACCAGTGTTGTGACCAGAAACTCTTTTGGCTTCCCGAAATGTTTCAGAAAATGAACTTACACTAAGCAGAAACTAAACATAAACATAAACATAAACATAAACCTAAACATAAAATACAAACCTAAACTAGTTTCGGGTGGTTTCTGTTAGTTTCTGTTTCTGGTTTTCCCTAAACTCGGAGTTTTGGGTCACAACACTGGTGATGATGAGTGGCGGGTGATAACCACCACCACCATCCATAAAAACACTTACCTAGCGATATCAGCTTTATTATTTTTTTTTGCTTCTTTTATTCAAGTTTTTAATTCTGTTGGCCATTTTTTTTGGAAAAGAAGTTTGCTATTTGATTGATGCGTACAGCATAGTGGAAGTTTGTTGTTACACGAAATTTCATACAGAACTCATTTCTCCTGAAACTTCACCAGTATATAGTTGTTACCTCTCTAAATTGGAGATCAAATTCAGATCCAATTCAAATCCAGTTTATCACTTACTTTTTATTGCCAGAATGTTTGCCATGTATTGTAAAGCTACATTGCACAATATAAAAAATTAGTGTAACTTTTCAAATTTCCACTATGCTGATGCGTACACATTAATTATTTATCCTATTGGTTTTTTTTTTGGTAGGACAGATGAGAATTGATTTTTTTTTTTTTTTTGGAAAAACAATTTATTTTTTGACAGAGTCCAAGGTGACAAAACGTGATTGTTTTTGTTTGGTGTCTCCTAAAGAATACGTGTTAATAACTAACCAGAGGTACATTTTTTTAATTTGCATTGATATTTTTATTTTATATAATGTATATTATTGGAATCAAAACACAGAGCAGATCTTGCTGGGTAATTACAAGGTTTTCATTGTAATATTTTGCTTTGCGTAATCGTAATCAATATTAATAATAATAATATTATTATTATTACAAGATGCCAAGGCAACACACCATTGAATATGAAACATTTCAAATATGCAATGTTTGATTATTGGAAATTTACAGGCATTGAAGCACGCATGCTGCCTTGAACACTTTACAGTCATTCTCTTATCTTCCTCGTGTACACAAGGCTAATCTGACCAAGATGCCCCTGATGATACAATGATGCAACAGAATTCCAGGGGGGTAACATGGCCCTGGAGTTTACTGAGACTGCACCAACATCAATGACACTTTTCACTAATCTCCCCAGACCAGAGATGGCTGCTGGCATGCTAGCCAAAAAGTTGCCTGCAATGATCCCACCTCTAAGGTAAGGATGACTCTGTGACCAAGCTATCACAACTCTGGAGGAATATTAAGAGAATCTGCAGCTCATTCAAGCACAGGAGGTTGCAATCCAGAGCAGGGTTGGTGGCCCTGAAATTGCACGAATCCACTCACTTTGTAACTGGGTGAATCCGCCCATTTTGAAGAATCATCACTAATCTCTATTAAATAAAGTTAAATAAATATGAATGTGCTATGGATTAATTAATAATAATAATAATAATAATAATAATAATAATTAAATATGCAAAACTAAAGACTAGTGCCATAAATTATGATGATGGTAGTAATTGTATTTACGGCATATAAAAAGTGGTTGCAATTACCTTTGTGTCCGCTTTTGCAACCATACTTTTTCCTTTTTTGGATTACAGCACTAGTCTTTAATGCTGGTGACAGTGAAGCTGTTGCAGAGAGTGGATAGTCATAACCTTTATTATCTGTAGACCAATTTTTAACTTGTATTAGTACATATGGAATATGATCTTTGCTAAGCTTTTCATCAAGAGTGCCTATATATATAGGTATAATGATATCTACTCCCTGTTGATTTCATTTACATGAAAATGCAGTATATACCACGGATCAGAGCATCACTGAGACTTTTCCTCTCTGGTGTATATGTAATATTGATAGTGTGTTAACTTAATCATTAACTAGAGGGACGACAAGTGGCGACAACCACCACCATTATCATGATAAACACTTAGCCTTTCACTTCTACGGCATCATTTTCTTCTTTGCTGCTGCTTTTAAAAATAAAAAAATATCGGGATTCAAAATTAGAAGGATAATCAAATTTTTATAAAAGAATGCGCGATGTTGATCATCGCTATGTTAATCGCACACGTTGTGACATTATCGTTAATCATTGTTTTTTATCTTTCGCCATGAGAATACCCATCCATATTAATAATATTTTTTAAATTGTTAAATTCATTATTTTTATTATTGAAAAATATGACCTATCAATACGATCAATATCAACAGCAGCAATCACCACAACTACAACCTTCATTTGATGGCGTAATTGATAATAAAACAACTTTATGGTATTTTTTTTTGGTGGATCATTCAAGATCTTGTTTTCTCATGTTTGAAAAAAAATTTTTATTGATCATTTAGGATGGGAGATCTTGAACCTTGGATGGATGAAAATTTTATTAGACAAATTTGGTACCAACTTGGAGAAAATGTTAGTGTTAAAATAATTCGAGACAAGTTTACTGGGTATGTAATTTTATGTAAATGCAAACTTTTGTCTTTTGTCTTTTGTGTTTTTTTCTTTATATCAAACAAATAGATCAATTAGTTTAATTAAAAAATTTGTATGTTTTTATCAAATATACCATTTAGTACAAATGCAGGTTATTGTTTTGTAGATTTTGTAAGTAATTCTGCAGCAGTTAAAGCATTGACTACAGCAAGTGGTACAACTATCCCTGGTACTAATCGAGTATTTAAGCTTAATTGGGCAACAGGAAGTGGTTTAGCTGATAGAAAGTAAGAGGTTTGCTATTTTGGGGGAGGAGTTTTTATTATAATATGATTTTCAAATGTGTGTGCACATTGATGAAGTATTTAACCTTTAAACTTTAGAGATGATCGTGGACCTGAATTTTCAGTATTTGTTGGTGATTTAGGACCTGAAGTTAATGAATGGATGTTAGTGGTAGGTCAAATAACAATATTAAGATTAATAATAATTATTATGATTTTATATATATACGTTTTATAAAAAACAATATCATAATGATTTTTCCAATAGTCATTTTTTCAACAACGATATCCTTCCTGTAAATCTGCAAAAATAATGACAGATCCAATGACTGGGATGTCTAGAGGCAAGTGTGAGGGAGAGGGGTTAAGAAATAATTATTTAAAGATTTTAATAAATGACTCAAAAAAAATTTTTTTTTTGAACAATTTAGGATATGGTTTTGTTCGTTTTGGGGAAGAGATTGAACAACAACGTGCTCTTGTAGAGATGCAAGGAGCATTTTGTGGGAATCGTCCAATACGAATTTCCACAGCAACTCCTAAAAATAAACTTTTATTACAAGGTGGTTATTTTCAACAAACAACCTTTCAAAATCCATTCCTTAGTAAATATAATGATCCAAATAATACTACTGTTTTTATTGGAGGAATAACTGGTATCAATAATGAAGAGGAACTTAAAAGGTCCATTATCATTTTATCATCATTTGCCTTATTCCAAAAAAAAAGTATGCATTATGTATTAATTATTCATCTGGTCATTTCGTAAATTATATAGTTATTTTCAAAACTTTGGTGAAATCACAAATGTAAAAATTCCACCTGGTAAAAGTTGTGGATTTATACAATTTGCTCATAGAAAAAGTGCTGAAATGGCTATCAGCCAAATGCAAAATCTTATTATAGGTACTAGAAAAAGGTCAAAAAATCATTAAAGAATTATTTAAATTACAAATATTATTGATTTTTAGGTAATTCAAGAGTACGAGTATCATGGGGTAGAACACAAACTGATAAAACTTCAGCTACAGCTTACAGGTAAATAATTAATAAATTATTGATAAATTACAATAAAAACAATATATTATTAATCTTCAACATCATCTTTTTTTTGCAAGACCACAATATAATGCTTTTGGTGGTATAGCAACAGCAACAACTTCGTATAATAATACTTATACACCAGTACCAACTCAACAACAGACAATTTCAGCTCTTACACAAATTACATCAACACCCTTAACAACAATTCCTTCAAAAATTCAATTGGACTCAATGGATCCCTTGGAACCTATTCCTGTTCAACATTTAAATGATCTTTTTATTTCTAATAAAGAAGATTTACTTGAAAGAATGGATATTGATACAAGTAACTGGCCAGACAATATCTATGCTTAATCAATTTTTTTATCAATATTTTTTATTTATTTTTATTTTTTATTTTTTTATTATCAAAAAAATTATAATCACTTATAATCATAATAATTATGGATATTTTTATTTTTAATTGTTTATTACTATCAAGTATATTTTTTTATTTACAAAAAATTTAATAATAACTTCAATTTTTTCTTTAAATAATAAAATAAATGCTTTTATTTGAAATATAGATGGATAGATTTAGTGGGTTATTAAAAGACAATTAAATAATACGAGAAAAAAAGGATTTAAATATGTAAATATGTTATTATTATGATGATGGTTTCATAAAATAATTTTAATATTTTCAATTATTATTATTATCACATTATTAATTTTTTTTTTTTTTTAAACACAATAATAAATTTTACCAATTAATTAATGGAATTGATAATGAATATATATATAATGATCATAATAAAAGCAAACAATAAATTTTGCTTACGGTGAGATTGAACTTGATGATCCATTAATGCAATAAGATATTTATCAATAATATCTATACAATCATTCAGATGGTACTACTTCTAAAACATCAGAGCTTAAATTTTTTTAAAGATTGATAGTTGAGGATTGCTTCCACTCTAATTTGTGACACTATCTCACTTAATTTGCGACTTGATTAAAATTTTTTGATTGTTTCCAACTCATTATCATCGCCATTTGCCACCATCACCATAACTAATGTTTGATTCAAAATAATCATTTATTGTTCTCTCTGTTTAATATTTCTACTGTAAGAACCGGATAATATTTCATTTTTATTAGAAACAATTTTTTTCTTCTGTTGCATCGACATGCTTGCAATGATGAGATAATAAGCAAGCTTTCACGAAGCCTAAAGCTTTTGTTATATCCATTGATGACATACCATGTATCAGATTATAAATTTTTTATGAATTGAAAACCACAAGAAATAAAAATAATAAAAAACAGAAAATCTTAATATAAAATGTTTAAATGCTTTTTTGCAAATTTTATCTGGTGGAGAAAGTTTTAAACGATTATTTAATTTTTCAAGGTATGATGGCATTTAGATTACTTGTGCCTTGTTCACAAAGCGCAAACATAGACCTACAATAAAAATTTAATTTATAATATTTTTTTAATTTTTACCTTCACAGTCAAATTACCATTCTGTTTTAGATCAAAATGAATGGTCTAGAACACAAATTTCGTTATTATCAAGTTTTTTTATACTGAAAATACCTTATCAGGAAAAGGTTCTTTGCAACTACTTCCAACCTAAATCAACAATATATTTTTCTATGTCTTGACCACTCCAACTAGAACATAGATGAAGCTCGAATTCATTGTCATTAGTCTTTTGTCTTTTAATATTATTATCACTATTATTGTCTGATGATATTTGAAAATCAGTAGCAAAGATTTTTGTTGCCTGTGCTTCTCTTTCGAAATGTTTTTCAACTAATAACTAAATTAGGGTCATTTCTGACAAATTCTAGCAAAAAAAGAACTCTTTAAGAGAGTTATAACAATCACTAAAACATACTTTTCAACTGATATCCAAATAAGTTATCTTTGGTGAATTAACATCTATTTCTTCAACTGATTTTCTCTAGCGGATACAAATTTTAAAAACAGGTAAATTGCTAATATCCAATTCTTCCAAACTGAGAAGCTCAAATCTTCAAGTTTCTACAACTCAGTTCAGTTAAAAAACCACCATTCTGACAAAAAGACAAAAAGATTACTCCAATTCATCTAAATGGTTAACTTGTAAATTTTCAACATGGCTAGCATAACACAAATGTTGTTTTAGCTTTTTATTGCCAGTTAAATCTAATTCTCATATTTTATAATACAACAATTTAAAGTTTCTAAGTTTTTGTAACATCTAAATAACCTTGTTGACCTGGTATTGAGGGAGAAACACCTAAATTATTAACTTGTTATTAAAAGTTCTTTTAAAGAATCAGCTAGGAATTCATAAAGGTTAACTTATTATGAAAAGAACATTTTCTAACTTGAGAAATCAAGTTCTATATGATGAGTGCTGAAAGGTTTCCATGAAAGAATCACATACTACCTACATTTAGTCCTGATGTAATTTTGGACCATTTAAAAAATTTTGAAGTTTATAATTTAGAAACAAATGATTATATAATATTGCACAAAACAATTTTTGAAGCTAATGAAAGAAAAAAGAAAATTCTTTTTCTACAGCTGGACTGAAGATTTAAAATTTTTTAAGCGATAATGATAAACAAGCTTATAAACGAAAACATGTCAGTGAGTTTCGTGAAATGCAGATTAGCATTACAGTGTGATGATATTCTGGTCTCATTATAAAATCACATAGCTCAATCACATATACACAATTCGTTCCGAGTATCAAAAATTAGCACTGGATGCGAAGAATTTCAGCATCTTATCATGTATTCGTGATTAATGATACAATCATTAATAAAAATAGGCTATTTCATGGCAGATGGTACATTGATCGAGTAGCCCAATAAATTACAACAAAGACATATTAATATACCCCTTTTCCCCCACACTGAAGTTTGACAATCGATTTAAAACTGGTTGCAACCAGTTTCTATTTTTCATCATCTATCAAATTTTTCGTCACAAAAAAAAATACTAAAATGTATATATGAATGTATGTTGCGAGATTGTGTCCAAGTTTCAACCATGTTTTAACGTTTATAATAAAATAATACAATTTCTTCCAATATGTTTTATACTAAATTGCAACAACAATTTACACAAATACAAACTATCTTTCACCATCGTTAAACAATTTCTTGCTAAGCAATACTAAACAATCACACTACGTCCTAACCACGTTTCTTGGTGGGTGCTGTTACTCCTTATTCAAGTCAAGTACATTGCTAAATAAGATTGATTAAATATTACTTCATTAAAGAAAAGAAATAAAAAATAATAATAAAAATCAGAGACAAATATAAAATAAGAGAAAAATTAATTATACATAGATGTAATTATTATGAATTCATTGTCAGAGATAGGCTTATTATCATCATTACGAAAATACACAATTCCAAAACAAGGAAGGACAAATAAACAAGGACGAGATTAAGGTTAAGGACGGTTGGTCATTAATTAACTATCGATTTTCTATTTTTCAAAGAAAATCACAATATTATTTGTATATATATGATAAAGGTTCAATCTAGTTTCCCAATTTCTAAATTCTTGATTTGATTTAATTAAAGTATTCCGTAAAATTAAACAAACCTTTATTTTGAAGGAAATGTTACTCTCTTGATAATTCCCGTGAGTTTGATAATTGTTTATCAAATTCTTGAATGGGATTTTCCGTGTTGTTCTGATTTTATTTTCGTGCAATTTTTGCTTTCGTTTTACAACACTAAATTCGGTTCTGATTTTGAAAAGGTGGTGAGCCCCACACTTTTAAACTTAAAATTGATAATTAATTATTGCATTAATTCTTAGTAAGGGCACAGCCCTTCATCAAAATATTATTTTATTGCAACACACATAATAAATGAATAGGTATGGTGCGAATCATCTAAAGACATTACGTGCTGTGCCACTTGCCGAAAATTTTTATGCTGATCTTGCTTTATAAAGAATCTAATATATCGATATAAAATAAATCCAAATTTGTAAAAGATCTGTGATTTTGTCACGTGAATAATTGGTAAATAATCTGTAAATTACAGTTTAGATATATAGTTGCCGAAATTTCAAATAAAATAGCAAAGTTACCCAACTTTAAACCATTATAACTTTTTTT